TCTCTCTCTCTCTCTCTCTCTCTCTCTCTCTCTCTCTCTCTCTCTCTTGCTCTCTCTCTCTCACTCTTGCTCTCTCTCTCTCTCTCCCTCTCTCTCTCTCTCTCTCATACATTTGCATATTAAAACTGTCTCACTTGGGTCGCTCGAGAGGAAGCGATATGCTTGAGCTGCATTGCTTAGTCAGTGCTAATTGGTCTCTGCCCATAGATGTTATACGCTTGATAGTTAATTGAAGCAGTTGTTTAATTAAATTGCTGCTGGCATGTGATAGCTGTGCATTGTCTAAGCATTGATTCATCGCTTGGGGTTTTGGTCAGGGCCAAAAGATGCCACCGCTGACTCACTGACTCCCTCTCTCTCCCTCGCTGTCTCTGTCTGGCCTGTGGCTTGGCCCGCTGCGGCTGCTGTCGTCAATTGAGTCCGGCCAATGGGTGTCGACGATCATAAAAAGAAGCGCGCACGCGACAATTGTTGAAAAAAAAGACGCGACGGCTCGAGCGGCGCTGGCACGCGATAAAAAAACAACAACAACAACAACAATGAATGAAAGCAAAGCAACAGCAGCAGCAGAGCCGGCAGCCGCTGAAATTGCGCTCACCTGGTTGAGCGTCACGGATTGCTAAATGCCAGCGGCTCTCCCTGGCTAAATGTCACACGGCAATTGACGTTGATTGGGCGGAGCGAGCGAGGGGGGGGGGGGCGACTGAACGACTGAGCGACTGAGCGACTGAGCGACTCACTGACTGAGCAACTGATAAGCATCGATTTCAATTATGCCGACAGACAATTATTAATAATATAATCAGACAAATCGTCAAATCAAATGCGCGCATTAGGGCATTTGCGATTTGTTGCCATTAAATGTCAACAAAGCATAAATATACAAACATACAAATCTACAAATCTACATACATATATAGAAATAGCAATAGCAATAGCAACAGCCACAGCTACGGCTCCCAGGCATGGTAAGGTAGGGTAAGGCAAGCTGATAATAATGGCAATTAATGCGAATTCGCAATTGGCAACGTCGCCTACGTCACAACGCGTTGAGTATACGTCACGTTGCCGTCGCCGTCGCCGTTGCCCAGAAATAAATATAGCGCCAGGTTGGCATTGCAAATATAAATAGATGGTTCCCAAACATTTTGATTTGACTACACCTGGAATGGAGCTACACTATCTCTGCCCTGTGGCGTCAACTGGCTTTATGGTACCGTTAGCCAGCAAGAAGCCCAGCCTGGGCATATGAGTCAATTGCTCATGTCATGTCTGTCAATACCTTAATGTGCCGTCAATTGTCCCAACTTAGCCAACTACCTATTCCCTATGATAACTCTTTGTCCATGTGTGTGCGCGTGTGTGTGTGTGTGTGTGTCACTTTGGAGACATTAGTCAACTAGACCCGAACAGCGACTGTGATTCCCAGTCCAAAGTTCCTTTTCTGACATAATTTTCAAATCATAGACAAGAATTTTCCACTCCCACGTTGTGATAACAGGCTAATGACATAATTAATAATTATTAATGATAAGCGGCTAATTACACTGGCCAACACACTTGATGAATTAGCGCCAGTTTTGTGTGGCTGTGATTTTTCAATTGATTTCAGGATTTCCCTCTCTCTCTCTTTCTCAATCTCTATCCTTATCTACCTCTCCATGTCTGTCTCTCCTTCTTTCTCATTTCAGTCGGTATTGCACAAGGAATTGTAGATATCTTCTCTTCGTTCTTCTTTTCAAATCTGTTGATCTATTTTATTCCTTTTTGGTTCATCTTTTGCCTATTTTCTCTTTGGATTTCATTTTGTTGCTCTTCTTTTTGGTTCGTTTTCTTTACTTATCTTTTCATCTCATTCCGTTTATGTCCATTACTTCTGTTTTTAGCCCTCTTATGCTCTTTATGCTTTCATTTGTCTTGTGGACTTTTATTTTCCTCTCTTTTCTTTTCTGTTCGCTGTTTTTTCCTTCTATTCCTTTCTTTTCTTTTGTTTCATTTCATTATCTTTTACTTTCTATCCTTCATTTTTGGATTTCTCTCTCTACTTTCCTCTCTTTTTCCTTGCCGTTTGTTTTCTACTCTTTTCCTCTCATTTCTGCAGTTATTTCTTTTGTTTTTCATTCTTTTCTTTTGGCTCTATTCTTTTCTTTTCTTTTCTTCTTGTTTTATGTTCCCGATTATGTTGCGCAGTGGAGACCCCACACCTCCAGCTTGCCCGAGTCTGATTAGGCAGCGGCACACAGTGGGTGCTAGTGCTAGGCAAGAGGTGGTCAATAAAGCAGCTGAAGAAGAGCTACACGTTAATTGGGCCGTGACTCAATCCGTTTATGGGCATTTGTACATTGTTTATCAACGGTGTGTAATAAATTATTAATTAACTGACTTTACAGCTTTGCATAGATTGCGAGGCTTAACCGAATGGAAGCAGGGATTTTTGGGTCAGAAATCGGAAATAGAAACGAAAATCTTATCGGTTTTATTCACACTGTTTCATACAGTGTGAAACATATTCACGTATTTACGATCATTTCTCATATGTGAAAAGCTCATTACCAATAAAAATTCAACAAAATACTGTAAATTCATACGCGAAACTTTTCAGGTCCTCAATGGAGACTATCACGTTGTATACTTAATACCTAAATATGTAGATAGTATTTAAATTTGATATGATATGATGGCATTCAAGGCGCGGCACATCAATGACTGTGGGTACTTAGCCGTCTTTTGATAGCACAAAAATAGCATTTATTTAAGGCATTGTTTACCTTGCATTTGGCACGGAGCTATTTTTAGATTGACCATGTTTACCTCAGGTATATATTAAAAATAGACTTGTTGCTGTTCTATAAATACCAAAAAAAAAAAAAAAAACAGCAGATTATATTAATGTTTAGACACTGTATTGTCTGTGCAATTCGATTCAGTTAGCTCTACAGAGTCTTAAGTCAGAGTGAAAACGCTTATTGTTAGGCCACCTAGCGATAATCTAACTTTGATATAACTCAGTCATAGAGTCATGTGAGTGCTTTATGATCATAATTATGATACTAGGAGTCTTCAGTTTAGTTTTGTACGTTGGACTCGAGGCGGAGCAATTCGTTATCATCTATACTCCCAAAGAACTGTGCTGGAATGAACATGTTCATGCATGAATATCAATATATATTACTAATAATCATACCGAATCGAGTATTAGCAGAGGGCACAAGACTCTTATTGTATATCAATAATTTACGTATCCATCAGTCGGGCCTTACCGACTGTAGAATACTCATTCACTGCCCAAACGTGGTCAGACGTATTTCCTAGTAGGTGAATCGGAACAATTTTGATATTTTATGCTTCGAGGGTATACAGAGGCATGAACATTGCACAAAGCCAATATACTCGTTTCATTTTCTTGAATGTGCATGCGAATTATATTCGTATTTTATATCGTTCCTTATGTTTTTGTTTATATATCATTGAAAGCCTATCGATTTTTCCTTGCTCTAAATATCGAATATTGGAGTGCATTCTGCAAAGCAAAAGGAGAGATTGACCTCATTTGAAGCTTCGCTTGTTTTAGTGTAATTTTAGTGTTATTTAATGAAACTGTAAGTTAATATATTTTGTCGCTTAATGCCAGCGACGATTGCGATGACGTCGAAGGTCAATACCCCCGCGGAAGTCGAAAAAATAAGAGCAGCTATGGTATGGCCCGGTGCATGACTAATAGCCATGTGCTATTTACAGCTGTAAGCGCAAATGCCAGTGATCTGACTTCTGTGCAAGGTGGCAGCATCAAGAAGCTCATCAAAGGTGGAACGCATCGGCTCGAAACTTGATCGATCAACCTGTCGTTCGAGCAAAGCATCGTCCGCCTCTTATTTGGTGTCTAGACATCAAATCCATGGCATTTTTTCAGCAGCCAGTTGGCCAAGCTATAGAAGCTAGGTCCTATGTCAACAAGCCAAGGCAAAAGTACTTTGGAGCTTTAGCTCAATCAGTCATCAAACATTTTCAAAAGCAAAGATGGGAGTTTCATTGCTATCAGTTTCAAGTTGGCAAGCCATATATGGGTTGTCCCAAAGTGCTTCAAGCAAATAGAAGAGGAGCTGAAAGGGCATGCCTCAGGCTCCACACAAGATACAAATTTTGGAACTATATTTTATCCAGCTGCTGAGTAAAATATCTAAACTGACGCAGTGTCGTTGCTGTAGAGAAGCTCCCAGCTGAGAGTGAGATGCACTGGAAAACCTGCTTCCGAAGGAAAAGTGGAAAGGGAAAAGGTCAAAGCACCTGCACCGCCTCCCAAGGTGACAGCAACCAACCCCTGAGGAACAAATTCAGCTTGAGCTCTGTGGTGTCTAAGGCCATGCTGAAGGACTCATCAAGGGAAGGATTCATGCTGAAAGATTCCATGCTGATAGGCTCTACATGGCTGAAAGACTCTACACGGAAAGACTCTACACGGAAAGACTCTACACTGAAAGGCTCTAGACTGCAGGGCTTCGTTCTGAAAGACTCCATACTAATAGGCTGCATACTGAAAGGCGGATCTAAATGGAAGAGCTCCTACGGCTTCATACTGAAAGATTTCTAACCGAATGGCTCTACACTGAAATGCTTTACACTGAGAGACTCTATACTGAAAGCCTCTACACTGAAAGGCTATACACTGAAAACCTCTACACTGAAAGGTTTTACTCTGAAAGGCTCTACACTGAAAGCCTCTATACCGAAATGCTCTACACTGAGATACTCTACACTGAAAGCCTCTACACTGAAAGGCTATATACTGAAAACCTCTATACTGAAAGGCTCTACACCGCAGGGCTCTCTAAAACTCTATTCTGATAGGCTGCTCTAAATGGAAGAGCTTCATACTAAAAGATTTCTAACTAAAAGGCTCTACACTGAAAGGTTCTACTCTGAAAGGCTATACACTGAAAGGTTCTACTCTGAAAGGCTCTACACTGAAAGCCTCTACACCGAAATGCTCTACACTGAGATACTCTACACTGAGATACTTTACACTGAAAGGTTCTACTCTGAAAGGCTCTACACCGAAATGCTCTACATTGAGATACTCTACACTGAAAGCCCCTACACTAAAATGCTCTGTACCACGAAATATATTGTATATAGATTTGAGGCGGAGCAAAACGAGTTGGTGGATACTCAATTCGCCCACTGTTCCCGCGTTTGTCGAAATGCAACAATGTAATGAGCCAGGTTAGATAAAAACCCTCATTGCTGGCGAGTGAGACGGTTGCCAATGACTGCAAAAAAAAAAAATAGAAATAAATTAATATTACAAAAATATAAAAAAAAAACAGTGCAACTGATTTCCTTTTGCATGTTTCCATTCATAAATTCCACAAGTGCCGGGTAAATGTATGATGAGAGTTGCAGAGGATGTCTCAATGAAAGTGAATGAGTCAGGAGTCGTGTAACTTCAAACTGAATTCCAGTTACGGTACATCAATGAAGTTAATATTAAGAATGAGCCAGCCGATCGAAGTATAGAAACATTGACGTAATTGCTCCGCGTCATTGATAAGGGCGAAGCTGGCGGCGAAGGAGGAGCTGCTGACACCATTGAGCTGCAAAAGTTCCCCTAACGTAGTGTGTGGTGGGGGTAAATATATGTAGGTATGTATGTATATACATATCTACATATATGTGTGTGTATGTGTAGTTATGAATGGCAGGAGAGGGCCATTGATGGGGCCAGCGGCAGGTGGGGCTGAGGTAGGTAAGGGCGAGTGGGGAGTTGGCTTAGCGAAGGGTGCTAGAGGGCGGGGCGGGGGGAGGCGGTGCCATAAAATAATGATTATAATTATGAGCATATAACGATTACGATTTGTTCTCTCGCACGCCGCAGTCGCTGTCGCTGCTGCTCCCACTGTCGACAGTCGCTGTCGCTGCCGCTGCCGCTGCCACGCTGCCGCTGCTAGCGTCTGAATCTGGGAAGTATAAATATAAATGAATGTGTTCGCCGGAACCATGAATCAGTCTTATTTAGGCGCACGCCAATGATTATCGCCATCGGCTCGCGAATCCAATCGAACCGAACCAAATCGAATCGCAGCGCATCGAACTGAACTCAGTTCAAAACTGAAACTCGAAAACGTTAACTGAAATTGAAATTGAAATTGAAGCTGAAATTGAAACTGAAACTGAAATTGAAACTGAAATTTAAAAAAAAAAAAAACAACAACAACAACAACAACAAATTACAGCAAACAAGTCATTAGCATTAGGCAAGTGCACGCGCCTCCAGTTCAGTATTATAAGACATTAAAGCCAACAGCTAATTGAAACAACAACAACAACAACAGCAACAACAGCCGCTAAAATGAGCCAAACAAGTAAGTAACTCATACGAGCAGCGAGTGCCAAGTCCAAAGTACTCACAGACCGGGCTAGCAAATAAATTTCAACTGGCTTTACCACGATTTACGATCGCTCGACGGTGGTGAAATTTTAATCATTTTTTAAAGCGATGTTCTCAGCGCTGCGATGAACTAACCCAAAAAGCCAAAAATCAAAGTAAAAAACAAAAAATCGAAACAAGAAAACAAAAACACAAAAAACATAGTTCGAATCATTAAAAAAAATAAATCAAGTAAAATAATAATAAAAACTTTGAAAGCCCGCTAAAATCTTTATGATATATCGAACAATTATCTTTGCCTCTAGCTTAGACCAAACACCTCGGGAACTCCCCAAGCCAAAGTCATTGTTTATTCAGATCCAAAGGCAACAATCCAGCCAAAAGGAAAAAATGAAAAACAAACTGTAGAAGAGCAAGTGCGAACATTGCAGTCGGGCGTTAACGACTGCACAATAGTCATTCACTGTCTGATCCGCTTTGAGCTTTGCCACGCCCCCAAATCCATGTGTGCATATATCTGTATGCAAATCAATAGAGGGCTGTCGATTTTTTTTTAGTTTCTAGCTCTCAAATGACAGAAAATACAGTTTTTTTCCATTAGCCACGCCCCTTATGGGCATGCACATATCCAGCATATATTGTATTAGAGAACTTGTCAGCTCGAGCGTATATGGCGAATAGTTTCTGAAATACCGTAAAATTACGTTATTTTTTAATTTGCCACGCCCCCTTAGCGGGCGTTTTGGGAATATCTTTATGATTCTTTCAATAGAGTCGAAATGGAGAGACAGACGCACAGATAGATAGACGTAGATTGCATCAAAGCCAATATACTCGTTTCACTTTCTTGAATGAGCATCAAGAAGCAGAAGATAGCAGCAGCAGCAGCTTCTTCATTAGTTTGGCAAAAAACCACAACAACAACAACAACAACTCAAAGGCAAGTGAGCAGCTTTAATTGGGCAACAATTAAAGTGCAATAACTATAATCTTGCCAAATTAATCGCTGTCTTAATCTGGCTAGATAATCATTCAATTAATCGAATCACATGTTCGCCGGTTTTTCTGCACAGTTCGATAAGCGGTAATATGGGAATATATAAATAT